TGTGGTCAACAGTTTTATTCACTTTAATAGCCTGCAAGGTGATGGCAACGGATGCATTAATTGTTGTAGCGATGTGTCTTTTCAAAACTTTATAGTCATAAAGACAAAAACAGTAGCAAATTTGAAAAACGAAATGTAATTTGGATTTGATTTGTGAACTCAGTTCGCAGATTAAGTGATCTCAAAAGATTTGGCATTTAATGATTTGTACTCTCATATCTCCTTGAGCCACACAACATATTAAAATATATCTAAAAAGTACACTGATAATAAATGCTAAACAACAACGCAAGATTTTTTTGAACTGAGATATGCAAGTTGTCCCCATTAAATAAGTGGTGTATAACAAAACTAAGCTACTTCATTGGGCACTGTGGGCTGTCTAATCAAATTAAAAGACTGAACATTATTGACCATTGAGCAGTTCAAATTTTTAGTATAAATAAGTCCAACCCAATCACACATCCAGAGCAACAAGCATGTCATTTGAAGTTTGACTGCATATCAGGAGTGGGATGCACAAGAAGTAATTTTCAACAATGAAGAGGTATACTGCTTCAAACTTTTTTCAAAAATTATGCAAATGTGATTAGCAATAACCAAAATGGGCAGGCCTGTTGAGAATATGGAAGTTGATAACCATGATGAAGGGGTATGCAATATGCCTTAAACTCATGAAAAACTTAATAATATGTGTGTTTTTAGTAATGTTCATCTAAATGTTTAGCTAAATTAGTCTTTTTAAGTGTTTCTCAAACTCATAGATTCAATGTTAACAACGAAAGGTAAATATCAAAGGTAAAACTAAGAGCAGTTTGGTATATAATTTCACATACCCAGATTTTCAAAAGTAAAAGTTTTGAGTGAAGAAGATAGGGCATGTTTCTAAAAATAGAATAATGTATAGTTAACAATTTGATTTCTTATTACAAAAAATAAGAACATTTTTTTCAAACATTATATACTTGGCAGTTTATTTGAAAAATAACCTGCTTTTAATTGTATTTAAAAGCAAAAGGTAAGACTTGGAAGTTAAGGGGAGGATGAAGATCATACCTGAGAGTTCGGCAGCAATAATAGAACCTTGCAGTCCCTAATCTTAACTAATTGATAATGTATTACATTTCACTTCTGAATACTACACATTTGGGCACCTTATTCAAGATCCTCTGAGTTTACATTTTATAAAGAATGAAATTTTAACTCAAAAATATATTCAATTCTTCTAGAATAGACCTGCAATATAAAAGATAAAATCATGTTAAAATGCATCTTTAAGTCACACACATATTAACACTATATATTGTGTGTAAAGACCATTTAGTTTGTTGAAAACATTGTATAAAGTAAACTATAAAACTAGAGCATTGAACATTTCCATATAAGATCAAAATTAACATGATAGTTTTAATATAAAATGCAGTTCAATATGCAATTGATATTAGATATTTTCAATTTATAAAAAGTTATGAATGTGTGCTCAAATGCAAGAATCTATCTTCAAGCTGTGAACAGGTAGGACAAAACTAAGTTGGATTTAGGTAAAACCATGGCCAGCCTACTAATCAGTAAGTTAATAAATCAAATAAATTTTCTAGAAAAAAACTCATTTTAAAGGTCTCTTTCATCCAACCAAGGATCATAAGCAGGCCTTAATGAGCATTTTGAAATATACAATGATAATAATTATAGGTATAAATAAATTAAAACAAGATCATTGCTGATAGTAAACCCATAAAAGAAAGCACAATTGGAATATTTTTACTCACCAATGCTTTGATTAAAGGCATGCATATCGACTTGCTACCAACCAATGCTTATTGATCAACTATGCCTTTTTTACTACAGGAGTACATAATCTAGAAAGCATCTCTTAAAAGCATGCATGATTAAGTCTCTATCTGAAGAATTTATCTCCAAACAGGACTACAGGTTCCTACCCAGCACACTGCTGGACCAAGCAGATCTATAGTGATCACATGATGAAATCTGTTTGAAATAATAAGACATGAGAGATAAGAGATAAGAGATTGTGGTGTGTATTACATAAGGTTGAAGTATCAAAGAGTTACAAAATCACCCAAAAAAAACTGGGATTAAGTAGTTTTAAAATCTTCCACACCAAAGATGGCAGTTCGGTAAACAATCTACTTCCTGTCCTCTTATATTTCATTCCAAACAAAACTGAAGTTTTACTATTATGTTTAAGTAGTTTAAGATGTTCAATTTACAAGCTATTACTCTAATAGAGTAACTTATATTCCATTTTAAGTTTATTTATTTCAAGCAAAAAACTTTGGGATAGAAAAGGTGTAGCACTGCCTTTTTTAAAATAAAGTCTGCTATTGTGACCTTCTAAAATTATATATTAATAAATACTATGGACGAAGTCAGTTTTGAATTCAGGTATCACCAACCACTGTAATTAATTAAAAAAATCTTATAAGATGTATCCAAAATACAAAGTTTTGTTTTATCTAGGGGTTAAATCAAGACCACATATATCATAAAATGGATACTGGCTAAAAGTAAAGGTCAGTCTAGCACCCTCGCTCAGCCGTCACTCAGCTGAGATCCTTGCACCCTCACGAAGCTGTCTTCACTACATTTGACGAAAAGCAAGATTGGACAAGAATAAACTAACTTTATAGTATAAAAAAATCAATAAATTGACTAAATCCTTTAAATAAAATGATTTACTAATTCATGCAATAGAAAATTGGTAAAATACAGTATGTAAGCATGTAAGTTTTACCGAAACGATGAAAGGAACAGTTAGGTCTGAGATCCTTTGAAGCTCATTCAGCCATCGTAGCCCTAACAATTGTCGAATAAGGCTTTATCGGACAAATGGACACTCACTATAGAGAAATGGGACGGTTGACTGTGGTGGTATGAGATTACAGACGACAAAAGAAGACATCCGAGAAGCAGGGTGAAGATGGGAGAAGATCGTCATAGAGGAGAGAACCGATGGTCTGCGATATTGGCCGCAGGGTAAATGAATATGCCGTTTCGGTTGTATAAATATGCGGTTTAGGTTTAGGTTGTTGGGCAGGAGTAAATTCATAGTATTGGGCTGGGTGTTGTCTAATTGGGCCAACAGCTATTTTTAAAATCAGGTCCGGGATTGGGCTGGGTAATATAGATGGTCCTAAATCTTAGGCTGTTAAAAATATTATTTTAATAAAATTAATAAATATTTCTTAATAATTGTTAATTATTAAATTTTTAAAAATATTTTATTGTTTGTAATTACCAATGTAACACATTTATTAATGTGGTTCACTTTCTTTTATTGGGGCATTGAATTTATCTAATTTTATATGTGTATTAAATTTGAATTTATATCTATATATTATGTAAATACTCCCTCCGTCCCAATTTGTAAGATACATTACATTTTACGATGTTTGACTGACGATAAAGCAAATTGATCCCTGTCAACACTCAAATTATTTTTAGAAAATAAAATTTACATATTCAGAAACTACATTAAAACTGCTACAAAACCTGCAAAAAATAATTCAAATTTCATAAACTTTTGATATATAAAATAAAATATTAAAAGTGATTTGTGTTGACCAAGTGAATAGTAAATGCATCATACAATTTGGGACTGAGGGAGTAAATAATTTTTTTAAATTAAAATTGATTGAATTAAATGAATTTCTCTTTCTTTGCTTTAATTCTGCAGAAAACATTGATTGTAGGGACGACCATCCTTCTCAACTGGTTGAAATCGGTTCCAGTTCTTCTAAATGTACAAGATGGATTGCAAAGGCAGGAGTCTCTAATATTTTAGTAGACAAGACAAATAGTTGATCATATTGATCATACTACTTATGTTGTTTACAAAGAAGTCTTTCAGAATTTGTATTTTCACCGTAAACACTTGCTATTTTACTTATCACTTTGTACTTTCAGATGTTAGTATCTCTTTAATTATATTTACATTTTATCTTCTTCGACAATGTTTTAAACTCTCTTTAACTATGAACACTTATTATGTTACTTACCACTTTATTCTAAGTTCAATTATCTCTACATTTTTTAATAGACATCTAAATCACACATTGATCAATTTTCTTCTGTGCATCGCACGGGCGAGAATCTAGTAGTTGTTCAAGGCTCAGATTTAAAGATGCATGTTGTCATGTTTTATCTACAAAGCTACCTGTCAGATCCATGTTCGTTGTTCAAGGCTCAGATTTAAAGATCCATGTTCGTTGAACTGGGTCAGAAAAGGGGGAATTTCATCATCATAGCCTCAAGTATCTGGAAGCAAATGATACATGTTAATGTCATTGAGAAATTAAAGAACATTTTTTACCGGTAAAATAGATCCAAACATGTTGTAAACTTAGTTTCATAAAAGATCATAGCAATAATAAAAGTAATTGATGTTACAAAATCCAAAAAGATATTACAACCTCTGATTTAGCAATTGTAGTTTCGATAAAGTAGTTTTGCTCTACAACTATGATTGAAATGTAATGAAAAAAAGTGGTCCTAAGACATGTATCCCTAATTGTGTTAATCAAAACATTGTTTTTTCACAAACAATATCACAACAATGATATTCTCAAAACCTACCAAAGAGGCAAATAGCAAACAAAGAATAGTGAGTTTATATGTAAGGACTATTTAGAAGAATGAGTCTAAAGTGATGTGATGAACTAATCAAGCATATATCGTAACATTTCTATGTACGAGCAATAATGGCCTGATTGGCTTCTTCCACAGCAGACTCCCTTTTGTGTGCATGGGAGATGTGAAAGACAATGTCAAATTTTGTTTGAAATTATTTAGACTACGAAAAAGTACAATTAATGTGATAGCTACAATTGTGTCGTTTATGAACATGCTTAAAACCTGGTTCCATAATGTTTATCATACGATATGAACATACATGCGGTTTAGACATTTAATCTCCTTCCTTTTTTTTGTTATGGGACAAATCAGAATCTGAAAACTGAAGATGAAAATCATACTAATGATGCATTTGTATTGATTGTACATTGATATGGAAAAGAAAAAAAAAATAATGGGTGCTTTCCGGCCCTTCCGGGTCATGTTTATAGCATCGCTTACAGTTTTTCACAATATAATATGACTGTATTGGAGAAATATAATGATTTCTCTAAAAAAAAATACTCTTTCCATTCATTAAGAAGATAGAAATAAATCAGAAAAAAAAAAAAAGAATACATGTGAGAATGAGTAAATAACTGTCAGTTATAAGATCCCTGCCTACCTACTACTAGACCCTGCTGAGAAGCTACACCTAGGCATCTGGTCTTCATCATCCACCTACAGTTTTTTTAGGGCTCCTCAAAACATTGCATTATCTCACTGTTTAAAAACTCTTTTCATATGCAGAGTTCATTCCATTCCCCAGAGTTACTTCAACTTTAATGGGAATCTGTAGAGACGGTGAATCTGTGTCTTCGATTAACCCTGAATTTAACTTCACTCTGATATTCTTGTTTGCAAATCTTAACGGCTACATATCAATTGAGGTTGTTAACCGAGTTGTTTTACATACTTCATGCATTGAATTCTGTATGCTGAGCTAGGATTTTGATATGTTAGGACCAAAGGACATTCTAATCACAGTAAGAACTCCTAGGAGGTAATCTGGGGTGGAATGACCTGGTTTTGTAAATCAATACACTTCCCAAGCCAGCAGATGTGATAGATGTCACACAACCAAACGGTTAATCTGAGTAGCTACACTATTATATTGAATAACCAGGTACCTCTATTTCATTTCATTTGATTTTGGGGCTGTGAGAAAAACTTCTTTGCATTTTGTGCCACATCTGCCTCTATAATAGCTTCTAGCACAATGTCAGATCCCTTTGCTTCAGCTAGAGCAAGCAATTCAAGAAAAGGTGAACATTAACTACTGCCTCTATTTGATTTATTGTGAACAGTTTGATGATGAGGCATGTAAATATATATATATATATATATATAGGTTTTGGTTCAAATGAGAAAACCATCTTAGGAGAGAAATGAGAACAAATGACAACCATCCGATCTTGATGCTTTTAGTTATTTCGGCTCTTTCTCATCAAGGGTAAAATTGATATTTTCAAATCTTACCAAATTGCACGATTCTCTCCATAACCATCATTCAATATTTCTCTTTCTTAGAACACGTGTTATCTCCATAACCTCTCTTAGTTATTCATCCCTACGTTTACTCATCATATTGTCTTTCTAGTTTCTTTATTTTCTCAATAGACATTCTAATCAATTTATTATTTATTTGCTCGGTGAATCACAATCAAATTGTTTAGTATCTGTCTTGAGTTCATTTATCATGATTTTGTTCTCTTTTGTTTATCTATAAATTATTCCTTTAGATGACATTAGTTAGATGCTCGTCTTTCTCCTTGTTACTCTTTTCTTATTCCCGACGTTTTTTCTCTAGGTGTTTAATTAACTGCACATTGGATGACAGTAGCAAGAGGGACTAATTGTTTTTATTGCACTTAGCTTTGTGTGATATTGCACAAAATTGTCTTTATGTGAATAACTCCTTTTCATTTTCTTTCTAAAAATACTCTTTTGCATATTCGATTCAGACTAAATGAAATTGATTTAAATACTTCTATTAATTGAGGCCTTCTTAAATTTTTTATTAAACTTTTGACTGGTGCACTTATTAGTTTCGTTCATGCACTTTTCATTAGTTTTTTTTGTTTTATTTAGCAAATTATGATGTTTTCATTTCAATTTAATAAAAAATGTCAATGCAAAATTTTATAAGTGTGAAATACTAATGCACTTTTATATATATTTAAATGCACATGATAAAAGTGCATTTTATTTTGTATAAGAGTGCTACTCTAGAATTTTAGAAAGTATGAAATAATATTGCACGTTTGTATTATTATAAATGCACGTTATGGTTGATAATTATGCCCTTGTACATTTCTATTCATTTTAATTTAAATCATATATGGACAGGGCCGGCCCAGGCCAAGTGCTGGCAGTGCGACCGCACAGGGCCCGTGAATTTTAAGGGCCCAAATTTCAATAGTCCGCCTATTATTATCAACTAACAGAGCCCAATAACATAAGATAGATCCTTCATTGAAAAAGAAAACGCCTGGTGGTTTCGAACCTTGACAAATTTGTTACACAAAGGAATGCTGAACCAATCAACCAACTCAACCATCTGGTGGATGCGTGCTTCCGTCCAATTTGCTTTTGTATACCATTCAACTATTGATATACTCCAACTAAAATTAATGATATTAATTTGTAATCATAATAATAACTATTTTTATTGCATGCCATTATTAAATTTAAAAACTATTACATATGTATGAAATATTCTTTACATCTATCAATTATATTTATATTTTTTATATATATTTTCTTTGACAAATTATCCATTTAATTCCAAAGAGTCAAACACTTCTTCAATTTATGAGTTATATTTAAGATAATGATACACTAATTTTCAATTTAATCTGCTTGTAACCATTATTAAATTTTGAATGAGAGTTATAATATCTTCTATTTCTCAATATGGAGTAATAATCTTATTTCTTATATTTTGTAGTTCTTATATTATTCTTTTTTGGGTTTTAATTTTGAGTTTGAATGATTTAGTACATACTGTAGATAATTATATTTGGATGGTTTGTAATAATTGAACTTGGCAAATTACCATGTTCAGGTATTAGATTATTAGTCTATTAATTTATAATTTAATTTAACAAATAAATGAAGATTATTTTGTTAAGGAGTACTTTTATTTTAACTATTATGTTAGTGAATAACTTGTAATTTGATATAAATTATTACTGTAACAAAGTATTACCAATACAATCTTCACTTGTATATATTTTTTACCTATTTTAGGAAAAGGCCTACATTTTATTTTTGCACAGGGTCCATATTTTCTCAGGACCGGCCCTGTATATGGATGTGCACAACTAAATGTGTAAAATTTAAAGTGTGGTTTACAAAAGTGCAAATTGATTTAATAAACATATAATTCTCCTTGGGATACAAAAATATACAGTATAATCATTTTATTAAATTGATGTTGCATAATGTTTCAAATAAAAGTGCAACTATTCAATGTTTAAGTGCAAATAAACAAAGCTAAGCGGATAAAATATTGTCTCTAAAAAGATGGCTAAAAAATCGAATTATGATGCATTTTTCGTCTAAAACGAAATATCGAATTAATTGTGCAAAAGACATCGAATAAAAGTGTAGTAACTTAAAGTTGGAGTGCGGATAGATACATTACGAAATTGCATCCAAAAAATGATTAAACACAAAAAAACATGAGAAAATGTAATAAAGTTTTTTAATTAGTTAATTGAACAAATGCGAGGATACGACAAATTTGGAGAAAAAAAGTTAAATAAGAAGAATCGAATATGTTATTCTAATTATGAGGAGGTTGATTTGTATTAATTAATATCCTAATTTGTAGGATAACTTCCCATATTTGGAATCATACGTTCCACTAGCTTTAGATCTTTTACCTAAATGCCCTCTTGTCATTAATATAATGCATACGTTTCCAATTTATATACTACCGTGTGCATGTCATGTGCAATTTTCAGTTCGGATGGTTTTTGTCTCAGCCGCACGATCAAAAGAATGGATGATCAGTTTTTATTCTTATTTCTCTCCTGGAGCATCATTCTCACAGGAACTCTCCCCTATATATATATATATATATATATATATATATATATATATATATATATATATATATATATATATATACATATATATGTTAAAAGGGGTGCTGTTCGTTATGCAGCCTCATGCATAAAAAGTTGCTTGAAGCCAAAGATGTAGCTCATCATCAATAAAGCATCCCCCAAGGTATAGCTCTATCAGAGGGCAGGATGTACTGACTTAAGGTCATGCCCAGATTGAAGGGTAAGTTCATGCCACTGCCTAAACATTAAGGGAAAATTCATGCAACCTCCCTGAGCAACAACCCACAACTTAAATCCTCCTCCAATCCCAGTACATCAAAAGAGATGCACAATTCAGGCAAAAAAAAAAAAACTACTATTTAATACGACATTAGAGTAGACAAGGTATGCTATCCCCCCATACCCTAGGAATCAGATGCCTCTCCACTAGCTACCCCTCCCCTACGAAAACCACCAACTCCTAAAAATAGAGAAAAGAAACAACAACAACAACAACAACAACAACAACATCCGAGACTTGGTCCCGAAAGGGTTTGGGGTCAGCTAACATGAAATTGGAACTAAAAGAGATGAAAAAGATAAAAAGATAAACAAAGATAAGATAAATACTCCCTCCGTCCCAAAAACAACTTCCCACTTTCCTTAAATGGATGTCCCAAAATTAACTTCACACTTCAATACTTTCCTTATTTGGCAAATTATCTACATCAAAAAAGTGATAAACAGTGCCAAACAGTGTTTAAACAGTGCCAAACAGTGTTTAAACAGTGCCAAACAGTGTTTAAACAGTGCAAAACAGTGCAAAACTACAGTAAAGTTAAATTTATTTACTAAAAGTGTGTGAAAGTCAAACCGGGAGGTTGTTTTCGGGACGGAGGGAGTATAAAAAAGATAAGATAAAAATATAAAACAGATAAAAATAGAAAATAATAGCAGCAACAACAGGATAAAAATATAAAAAAAGATAAAAATAGAAAATAATAGCAGCAACAACAGCATTACCCCAGTGACGCAAAGGCTCCCACCTACGGAGGGGTAAGGGGGTCAGATGTACACAGCCTAACCCCTGTGCTAAAGCAGGGGGAGACTGTTTCGAGATGACCCATGGTAAAAATAGAAAAAACCCAGCCTCTAGAACTAGTCCATATAAATAAGCAAACAAAACTAACTATGTCACTGAAAAAGTCAATTTAACAAAAGTACACCCGATTAATTTCATTGAGGTACAACTACTTGAAATAGCAAAATTCAGCTATGTTTTTAAAAATTATTTATTGCTTTATATAGATTTAACATTCTTAACTTGTTTGGGGATATAATAAAAGAATACATTCATTATAATAAAAAGGCTAAAGGGTCAAATAGGTACATGAACTGACTTAATGTGTTCAAATGTGTTCAATTAGCCCCTTATATATGAGTTTCTGCCCGGACGTCGAAAATTGGGGCGGTTCCCGGTGCGAATTCTTTGATGATTTTTTTTTTAAATCTTCTTCATTAAGTCTAGTTTACCCATGCCAAATTTCAGCTAAAAATTCAACCGGGAAGGCAGTCGAATGATTTTCCAAAATATTAAACAGCGCAGTACATTTCGGAAAATCATTAGACTGCCTTCCCGGTTGAATTTTTAGCTGAAATTTGGCATGGGTAAACTAGACTTAATGTAGAAGATGCTCAAAAAAATTCATCAAAAAATTCCACCGGGAACCGCCCCAATTGGCGACGTCCAGGCAGAAACTCCTATATAAGGGGTTAATTGAACACTTTGGGTAAACTAGACTTAATGTAGAAGATGCTCAAAAAAATTCATCAAAAAATTCCACCGGGAACCGCCCCAATTTTCGACGTCCGGGCAGAAACTCCTATATAAGGGGTTAATTGAACACTTTGGGTTAGTTCATGTACCTATTTGACCCTTTAGCCTAATAAAAATCAGCTTCTTTTGTGACAGCAAGATAAGTTTTCAAACAAACTAATATTTTTGGACAGAGAGGGCAGGAAAAAAGATGATATATACCTGTATGATCAGGCAATAGACCTGCACTTTTAGCAGAGACTGGAAGCACAAGATTACCAGACTTATCAGGAACCTCATTCAGAGCTTCGCAGTTTTCATACTTGGGTTTTGATAATGTGATTTCAGCAAGTTTTGCATATGCTGTTGCTTGACTGTTCATATCAGAAGAGGTTGAGGGCTTAAAGTTACAATCCTGCAAGTACAGCTACATCAATCCTTTAATTGGAAAATGATATGAAAAATTGGTACTCCAAGTGAATATATAGAGATGGCAAGTACCTTGGGTGTATTACTGATAGTTGTGCCCTTACTTTCAGACTTTTCAGGTCCATTTTCCATCGATGTACCAGCACCAGCAGTGGGTGGGTGGTTTTTTATGTTATCAACTAGCCTTGTGGTTAATGGACCCGGATTCACAAAAGAAATGGTTCGGATTTCATGTCGTATGGCTTCTAATTGAGCAATTGTATCTTGTAGCTCTTTGTGGACCTTTAAGATAAATGCCAGAGAAAAGATCATTGCCGCCATACACAAGTATGCCCGGTATGAGAAAAAGATACTGGAGTATACATCTATATCAAATGATGATTACTATATACTACATATAAGTTAAAAGAAGAGTAAAAACCTACAGAAATAGGTGAAGGAAGATAAAAAGAAACCTGTCGAGCTTGAGTTTGCTGCATGACACTCTCAAATTGACCACGGGCCATTTGAACATAGCCAATAGCACGGCCAGATAACCTCCCAGCAGTTCTTGCTATGACTGGAAGGTCCTTAGGTCCTGACAAATCAAAACCCTGCCTCAGCATATATAACTCAACACATGAAGGATATAATCAATCTCATACTGAGAAGCAAGTTTTGGGAATAGGAAACAGGATTATCAGAACTATAGTGAAAAACCGGGTGAATCGAAGACAGTTTACACCGCCATTACAGAGGAAGAGTACCAATTAAAGCCGCAGTAGCTCCAAGCAATAAAAACAACTCTCCATATGAAAACCCTAGCATGTCTTTATGTCTCTAGTTTGAACAAAGAATTAATGGGAGCTGGAGTCAATAGATCTCGCCGTTCGTTGCTGAGGAAGCCGGAGTGTCTAGAACTCTAGACCTGAGAAGGAATACAATACAAAAGAAGCAATTAAACATTAGAAGGAATAATTTTATATGGGAAAAAATCACATTACAAGGAATAATATTATGTGACAAAAACAACAACCAAGCTTTATTCCCAAAAGAGAATCATTTCATGTGAAATTAATTTATATTTTTTCCAGCAAAAAATTAAAAAGAAGATTTACCCTCAACGATGTTAACTATTCAAGCATAGGCAAACAGGTAAGAATCCACAGTGCAAGCGCAGGAAATTATTTTGCTTTCAAATTTTAAAGCATAGAATGACTTTATACTAAGTGTAATATGAAGTTCAAAAAATTACACGAAGAGGAACAAAAGCAAGTATCTAAAGTCTCCAGTTCAAAAATCGAATCTTAACCAACTTTGAGCTTCCTGTCTTTCCAATGGTATCTCCATAAACAAACAGAAATGCAATTTACAATGTGCAATTAGGTGTCTGCTCAATCTTGAGCAGCATTATTAGTATCATAAAGAAGTTTACAACCACAAGCTTGCCAAATTAATGCAAATGGTATCTTAGGAATTTGATGTGCAACTTAGAATAGGGATTTGAGGTAAATAAGTTGGGCCATGAGTCCATGACTAGTGGCTGATCTATTGCCCCTATTCTGCGTGCATGAAATCATTTTAAATTGAAATGAAGAACAATACATCTATCTTTATCTAAAAGCAAAAGAAATTCAACGCACAGTACTCCCGCCCAATTGTGTCAACGTCAGTTATTAATGTTTTAATTGGTCAAGAATTATAACAGAGGATATGCATTGTAAAGGATGGGTCCGGGCCACACTTTAAATTTTGAGGAAAGTATTCCTATTGGCTGTAGCTGACGGTGGGTATAGTAAGAACAAAAATTAATGAGGCCTCCTATTGGTCGAAGAGGTGGTGGTTACTGTTGCCAAAATTTGTGACATGATGCTTCCTTGCTTTCCATTGGTTGATGAGGGTGGTGTGAACAAGTGAGGGGATGGTACCTGCAACAAGTGGTACACAAACGTTCAAAGCGATCAAAGCTCTCATCTTCCTATGATTCAAGTCGAAGGTAAAAAAGAACCACATCCCCTCTTCCATTTAACGAAGCGATCAAAGCTCTCATCTTTGCATCCATGGAGGAAACAGAGACTCATAAAGCTATGCTCACAACAGAAAATTGGAAGAAAGAACAAATCTTCAACTCAAACAAAGTGCCACCCTTCCCCGCCCAGCATCCCTCTTTCGGTGTGGTTAAAGCAAATGAATCATCATTGAACACCAGCCCCACAAACTATATTGACACATTCTCAGAATTGGTTGAATCCCTTAATTTCAGAGCCTAGGGATTCTTCGTTTCAAACATTATTGGCATTATTATAATCAAATCAGAAGACAATGAACCAGAAATTGAACACATTTGCATCACTTCATTGTCTAGTTCCAATCCAACACAGTCCCTTCCTATTTCCTATGGGAATCCCAAAGCCAAGCCAAGTTATTAATCAAAACAGACATCCAGTCCTGGGCTTCTTTTAGTATTAGATCAATGCTGAGAAAATGATAGCAGCCGAACTCTCTGCTAAAGGTACATCAAAATATATAATTCCTCTAGAAATTTCTTAAAAGAGAAACTGATTGAGAAATAAAAAACAAAGTATTTCACATTCTAAACTTCTATTTTGTATGCACAAAATAAACATATAATTTCGAATGCAATGAATGAATAATAGTAGAAACTTTGAATGAAGCCATCAGTCACCAATGATTCTCCACATAAGCTTAAAGCTAATAATACGGTCCGCATCATGGTTCGATCTAAGAGATCGCATCACGCGGCTTGTCAATTTCAGCTAAAACTAAAGCAAAAAAGGCAGAATAAAATCAACAAAAGAAGAGCTCAGAGAATAGTATGGGTATGAGACAATTATCATCACTCTCTCCGAAGGAGGTCAGAGTGGTGCATGACAATCTCTGTATTTCATCATCGCTCTTCTTCGTCTAGTGAATACTCATTAATAATTACTACGTAATAATCAAACCTAATTTTAAAAAAATGAAAAATAGGGAGAAATGGATAATAAATAACGCTCAGAGATAATTTCCGCTATGATGATTAGGAATAGGTGAATGCTCAGAGAAGACTGCACATGATATATAGGAGCGGAAATTAGGTTTCACCCAAACTCTAATCTTTGTGGAAATTTGAATAGATACAGGCCCGGGTTGAACAAAGGGGCCATACAGATCCTGGTCTTCTGGCCCGGTTGGTTCATTTAAATTCAACCCGACAAGGTGTAGATGTAGAATGAGTAGCAATTCCGTCAGGTCGGCCTGAAACCGCCGTCCGGCAGAGGGCTTTTGGGGCCCTCCCCGGTGGAATACATATATATACACACACACACACACACACACACACATATAGAGGAATGATCCTGTCCAGCCGGAGGGACAGGATCCTCCGTCCAACCGCCACCGTTTGGGGCGGTTTCCGGTGGAGTTTTTTGATGAAATTTTCATGGAATGATCCTCATCAAGTCTAGTTTATCCACAAAAAATTTCAGCTAGAAATTTGATCGGGAAGGCAGTCAAATAATTTGTTGAAGATAACTGCTCCAAATTAAACATATAAAACGCATTTATGTTTCAAAAAATTATTTCACTGCCTTCCCGATCGAATTTTTAGCTGATTTTTTTGTAGATTAACTAGACTTGATCGGGAACATTCCATAAAAATTTCATCAAAAAACTCTACCGGGAACCACCCCAAACGGCAGCGGCCGGACGGAGGATCCTGTGTCTCCGACTGGACAGGATCTTTTCTGTATATATATATATATATATATATATACATACTAGTTGGCACGCGCGTTGCGCGACGGGTGGTGCCCAATGCTGGGGGAAAATGTGTTGCATTGTTAGGGAAATCAAAAATAGGGTGAAACTTAGAGGAACAAAAAACAATGTCTAAAATTTGATAGATTTGTTAGGGATATTTGAGAAAAACCATTTAAACCATTTATTCATATAATGTAAAAACAAAGAAACCCAAACATATATAAGATCTAATACAAACATATGCGAAATCAAACATAAGAAATAAACTGTCATTAGAACTTTTCCTTTCCGCTAGCATTCCCTGAAACTTTTCCTTCTTGAGTACTCTTTGAGCTAATTATGGGTATTTTATGGTACCTATAAATGTTTGGTGCATGTTTTCCATTATCTTCCTTCATGAGATTACTTCCAAGTTCCAAGTCATGGAATTAATGGGGTGGAAAACTCATACTCAATCTATTCACTTCTGAAAGTCTACAACCTATAAGGAGTCAAAATTTTGTTCATTGACCTACCTTTGGTAATGAATGAAAACTGTTGCTTGGGAATAAAAAAAACCTAAAAAGCATACACATTGTTTCAGAATGTTTTTTCAAGAAAAGAAGCCATTCTACATACGGAAAAAAACCTAGAAAAGCATACACCTATTTCAAAAATCATAAAAGCAAAACGGAAAACCAGCTGTTTACAGTTTATATAGTTCAATTGGGTGTTTATTATGCTTACCCAATTATAGTCCTCAAGACAGCACTCTTCTTCGCAAACAAACACCCATTCCGCAACCTTATCCAATATTCTTTTCTTTTCAGGGCCTCTTTTTTACATCACATAGGGTGATGTCAGGGGACTGACATAAATGCAGCTTGACTTGTTTTACAAATTAGTAAGAAATTTGGCTCAGAATATATAGAATACTCACAGATCCAGTGTGGAATGATATTCAAACAATACCCTCACGGTCATCATAAACCTCGACAAACAAAGTGCTATATTGTAACATCTAACAAAGAAATGTAAATACCTGATTTATGCCTCAGTCTTGAATGTTGGCAACTTTTTTTATGCCACATAGCCCCCTCTTGATGTCCTCAGGAGTGGACCACCACGTTTATGAAGTGCACTGTATACACGAAAATAAGACCTACTTAACTCCTTCCACACTTTATATATATGGTAGATTTCTATATGGAAAACTTAGTGAACTCAAATTAGGGAGCAAGGGACACTTTACCTAATAGCAGATATACACATATCAGAATGTTTTGCAGCTTCTAATTTCATTTTGGAGTCGAATGACAGCCAACCATTTTAGTTCATAGGCCGAATGGCCCACATCTCTAACAACCTAACAACATCATGACCCCAAAACAAAAATAAAGAATTATGGGAAACTCAACACTTCTCTTACTTTTAAAATAAGTAAGACTTTTTCAAAAAAGTTTATTTTGTATATTTTTTATAGAAATATATTAAACCTTTGAAAGAACAAAAAACTTTTTTTCATTCAAATTATTTATACCAAATTAACCCAAGAATTAGATGTGAGATGTAATAGCAAATTAATTTAAGAATTTGAAACTAAAATACCTAAAATATCAGATTCAAACCTAAATTAGTCTAACAATCAAAATAGTGATGTCAAATTAACAACATGATTCTGGAAAAATTGATTTTTTTTTACCAATGAAACCTCAATGTATTAATACTTTGGTAGTTTATTTTTTTTGACCATGAAAAGTTTATGTAAAAATGATCACACGATGGTTAACTAAATACAAATTGATAAATTCTCACAGTTTTCTAATTACCAGTAAAAGTTAGTTAAACATCCATCATTATAGTTGGAGTCCACAATCTTTCTATATACAAACTGCTGTGGAAAAGCAGCATGAATTCCCGCCCAAATGTAGCGGGTCAAATAGCTGAGTTCGTGTCAAAAAGGGTCCATCAACTAGGGTCAAGTATTGAGTGGAATAATGCATTAATTGTGGTCAACAGTTTTATTCACTTTAATAGCCTGCAAGGTGATGGCAACGGATGCATTAATTGTTGTAGCGATGTGTCTTTTCAAAACTTTATAGTCATAAAGACAAAAACAGTAGCAAATTTGAAAAACGAAATGTAATTTGGATTTGATTTGTGAACTCAGTTCGCAGATTAAGTGATCTCAAAAGATTTGGCATTTAATGATTTGTACTCTCATATCTCCTTGAGCCACACAACATATTAAAATATATCTAAAAAGTACACTGATAATAAATGCTAAACAACAACGCAAGATTTTTTTGAACTGAGATATGCAAGTTGTCCCCATTAAATAAGTGGTGTATAACAAAACTAAGCTACTTCATTGGGCACTGTGGGCTGTCTAATCAAATTAAAAGACTGAACATTATTGACCATTGAGCAGTTCAAATTTTTAGTATAAATAAGTCCAACCCAATCACACATCCAGAGCAACAAGCATGTCATTTGAAGTTTGACTGCATATCAGGAGTGGGATGCACAAGAAGTAATTTTCAACAATGAAGAGGTATACTGCTTCAAACTTTTTTCAAAAATTATGCAAATGTGATTAGCAATAACCAAAATGGGCAGGCCTGTTGAGAATATGGAAGTTGATAACCATGATGAAGGGGTATGCAATATGCCTTAAACTCATGAAAAACTTAATAATATGTGTGTTTTTAGTAATGTTCATCTAAATGTTTAGCTAAATTAGTCTTTTTAAGTGTTTCTCAAACTCATAGATTCAATGTTAACAACGAAAGGTAAATATCAAAGGTAAAACTAAGAGCAGTTTGGTATATAATTTCACATACCCAGATTTTCAAAAGTAAAAGTTTTGAGTGAAGAAGATAGGGCATGTTTCTAAAAATAGAATAATGTATAGTTAACAATTTGATTTCTTATTACAAAAAATAAGAACATTTTTTTCAAACATTATATACTTGGCAGTTTATTTGAAAAATAACCTGCTTTTAATTGTATTTAAAAGCAAAAGGTAAGACTTGGAAGTTAAGGGGAGGATGAAGATCATACCTGAGAGTTCGGCAGCAATAATAGAACCTTGCAGTCCCTAATCTTAACTAATTGATAATGTATTACATTTCACTTCTGAATACTACACATTTGGGCACCTTATTCAAGATCCTCTGAGTTTACATTTTATAAAGAATGAAATTTTAACTCAAAAATATATTCAATTCTTCTAGAATAGACCTGCAATATAAAAGATAAAATCATGTTAAAATGCATCTTTAAGTCACACACATATTAACACTATATATTGTGTGTAAAGACCATTTAGTTTGTTGAAAACATTGTATAAAGTAAACTATAAAACTAGAGCATTGAACATTTCCATATAAGATCAAAATTAACATGATAGTTTTAATATAAAATGCAGTTCAATATGCAATTGATATTAGATATTTTCAATTTATAAAAAGTTATGAATGTGTGCTCAAATGCAAGAATCTATCTTCAAGCTGTGAACAGGTAGGACAAAACTAAGTTGGATTTAGGTAAAACCATGGCCAGCCTACTAATCAGTAAGTTAATAAATCAAATAAATTTTCTAGAAAAAAACTCATTTTAAAGGTCTCTTTCATCCAACCAAGGATCATAAGCAGGCCTTAATGAGCATTTTGAAATATACAATGATAATAATTATAGGTATAAATAAATTAAAACAAGATCATTGCTGATAGTAAACCCATAAAAGAAAGCACAATTGGAATATTTTTACTCACCAATGCTTTGATTAAAGGCATGCATATCGACTTGCTACCAACCAATGCTTATTGATCAACTATGCCTTTTTTACTACAGGAGTACATAATCTAGAAAGCATCTCTTAAAAGCATGCATGATTAAGTCTCTATCTGAAGAATTTATCTCCAAACAGGACTACAGGTTCCTACCCAGCACACTGCTGGACCAAGCAGATCTATAGTGATCACATGATGAAATCTGTTTGAAATAATAAGACATGAGAGATAAGAGATAAGAGATTGTGGTGTGTATTACATAAGGTTGAAGTATCAAAGAGTTACAAAATCACCCAAAAAAAACTGGGATTAAGTAGTTTTAAAATCTTCCACACCAAAGATGGCAGTTCGGTAAACAATCTACTTCCTGTCCTCTTATATTTCATTCCAAACAAAACTGAAGTTTTACTATTATGTTTAAGTAGTTTAAGATGTTCAATTTACAAGCTATTACTCTAATAGAGTAACTTATATTCCATTTTAAGTTTATTTATTTCAAGCAAAAAACTTTGGGATAGAAAAGGTGTAGCACTGCCTTTTTTAAAATAAAGTCTGCTATTGTGACCTTCTAAAATTATATATTAATAAATACTATGGACGAAGTCAGTTTTGAATTCAGGTATCACCAACCACTGTAATTAATTAAAAAAATCTTATAAGATGTATCCAAAATACAAAGTTTTGTTTTATCTAGGGGTTAAATCAAGACCACATATATCATAAAATGGATACTGGCTAAAAGTAAAGGTCAGTCTAGCACCCTCGCTCAGCCGTCACTCAGCTGAGATCCTTGCACCCTCACGAAGCTGTCTTCACTACATTTGACGAAAAGCAAGATTGGACAAGAATAAACTAACTTTATAGTATAAAAAAATCAATAAATTGACTAAATCCTTTAAATAAAATGATTTACTAATTCATGCAATAGAAAATTGGTAAAATACAGTATGTAAGCATGTAAGTTTTACCGAAACGATGAAAGGAACAGTTAGGTCTGAGATCCTTTGAAGCTCATTCAGCCATCGTAGCCCTAACAATTGTCGAATAAGGCTTTATCGGACAAATGGACACTCACTATAGAGAAATGGGACGGTTGACTGTGGTGGTATGAGATTACAGACGACAAAAGAAGACATCCGAGAAGCAGGGTGAAGATGGGAGAAGATCGTCATAGAGGAGAGAACCGATGGTCTGCGATATTGGCCGCAGGGTAAATGAATATGCCGTTTCGGTTGTATAAATATGCGGTTTAGGTTTAGGTTGTTGGGCAGGAGTAAATTCATAGTATTGGGCTGGGTGTTGTCTAATTGGGCCAACAGCTATTTTTAAAATCAGGTCCGGGATTGGGCTGGGTAATATAGATGGTCCTAAATCTTAGGCTGTTAAAAATATTATTTTAATAAAATTAATAAATATTTCTTAATAATTGTTAATTATTAAATTTTTAAAAATATTTTATTGTTTGTAATTACCAATGTAACACATTTATTAATGTGGTTCACTTTCTTTTATTGGGGCATTGAATTTATCTAATTTTATATGTGTATTAAATTTGAATTTATATCTATATATTATGTAAATACTCCCTCCGTCCCAATTTGTAAGATACATTACATTTTACGATGTTTGACTGACGATAAAGCAAATTGATCCCTGTCAACACTCAAATTATTTTTAGAAAATAAAATTTACATATTCAGAAACTACATTAAAACTGCTACAAAACCTGCAAAAAATAATTCAAATTTCATAAACTTTTGATATATAAAATAAAATATTAAAAGTGATTTGTGTTGACCAAGTGAATAGTAAATGCATCATACAATTTGGGACTGAGGGAGTAAATAATTTTTTTAAATTAAAATTGATTGAATTAAATGAATTTCTCTTTCTTTGCTTTAATTCTGCAGAAAACATTGATTGTAGGGACGACCATCCTTCTCAACTGGTTGAAATCGGTTCCAGTTCTTCTAAATGTACAAGATGGATTGCAAAGGCAGGAGTCTCTAATATTTTAGTAGACAAGACAAATAGTTGATCATATTGATCATACTACTTATGTTGTTTACAAAGAAGTCTTTCAGAATTTGTATTTTCACCGTAAACACTTGCTATTTTACTTATCACTTTGTACTTTCAGATGTTAGTATCTCTTTAATTATATTTACATTTTATCTTCTTCGACAATGTTTTAAACTCTCTTTAACTATGAACACTTATTATGTTACTTACCACTTTATTCTAAGTTCAATTATCTCTACATTTTTTAATAGACATCTAAATCACACATTGATCAATTTTCTTCTGTGCATCGCACGGGCGAGAATCTAGTAGTTGTTCAAGGCTCAGATTTAAAGATGCATGTTGTCATGTTTTATCTACAAAGCTACCTGTCAGATCCATGTTCGTTGTTCAAGGCTCAGATTTAAAGATCCATGTTCGTTGAACTGGGTCAGAAAAGGGGGAATTTCATCATCATAGCCTCAAGTATCTGGAAGCAAATGATACATGTTAATGTCATTGAGAAATTAAAGAACATTTTTTACCGGTAAAATAGATCCAAACATGTTGTAAACTTAGTTTCATAAAAGATCATAGCAATAATAAAAGTAATTGATGTTACAAAATCCAAAAAGATATTACAACCTCTGATTTAGCAATTGTAGTTTCGATAAAGTAGTTTTGCTCTACAACTATGATTGAAATGTAATGAAAAAAAGTGGTCCTAAGACATGTATCCCTAATTGTGTTAATCAAAACATTGTTTTTTCACAAACAATATCACAACAATGATATTCTCAAAACCTACCAAAGAGGCAAATAGCAAACAAAGAATAGTGAGTTTATATGTAAGGACTATTTAGAAGAATGAGTCTAAAGTGATGTGATGAACTAATCAAGCATATATCGTAACATTTCTATGTACGAGCAATAATGGCCTGATTGGCTTCTTCCACAGCAGACTCCCTTTTGTGTGCATGGGAGATGTGAAAGACAATGTCAAATTTTGTTTGAAATTATTTAGACTACGAAAAAGTACAATTAATGTGATAGCTACAATTGTGTCGTTTATGAACATGCTTATCATACGATATGAACATACATGCGGTTCCATAATGTTTATCATACGATATGAACATACATGCGGTTTAGACATTTAATCTCCTTCCTTTTTTTTGTTATGGGACAAATCAGAATCTGAAAACTGAAGATGAAAATCATACTAATGATGCATTTGTATTGATTGTACATTGATATGGAAAAGAAAAAAAAAATAATGGGTGCTTTCCGGCCCTTCCGGGTCATGTTTATAGCATCGCTTACAGTTTTTCACAATATAATATGACTGTATTGGAGAAATATAATGATTTCTCTAAAAAAAAATACTCTTTCCATTCATTAAGAAGATAGAAATAAATCAGAAAAAAAAAAAAAGAATACATGTGAGAATGAGTAAATAACTGTCAGTTATAAGATCCCTGCCTACCTACTACTAGACCCTGCTGAGAAGCTACACCTAGGCATCTGGTCTTCATCATCCACCTACAGTTTTTTTAGGGCTCCTCAAAACATTGCATTATCTCACTGTTTAAAAACTCTTTTCATATGCAGAGTTCATTCCATTCCCCAGAGTTACTTCAACTTTAATGGGAATCTGTAGAGACGGTGAATCTGTGTCTTCGATTAACCCTGAATTTAACTTCACTCTGATATTCTTGTTTGCAAATCTTAACGGCTACATATCAATTGAGGTTGTTAACCGAGTTGTTTTACATACTTCATGCATTGAATTCTGTATGCTGAGCTAGGATTTTGATATGTTAGGACCAAAGGACATTCTAATCACAGTAAGAACTCCTAGGAGGTAATCTGGGGTGGAATGACCTGGTTTTGTAAATCAATACACTTCCCAAGCCAGCAGATGTGATAGATGTCACACAACCAAACGGTTAATCTGAGTAGCTACACTATTATATTGAATAACCAGGTACCTCTATTTCATTTCATTTGATTTTGGGGCTGTGAGAAAAACTTCTTTGCATTTTGTGCCACATCTGCCTCTATAATAGCTTCTAGCACAATGTCAGATCCCTTTGCTTCAGCTAGAGCAAGCAATTCAAGAAAAGGTGAACATTAACTACTGCCTCTATTTGATTTATTGTGAACAGTTTGATGATGAGGCATGTAAATATATATATATATATATATATAGGTTTTGGTTCAAATGAGAAAACCATCTTAGGAGAGAAATGAGAACAAATGACAACCATCCGATCTTGATGCTTTTAGTTATTTCGGCTCTTTCTCATCAAGGGTAAAATTGATATTTTCAAATCTTACCAAATTGCACGATTCTCTCCATAACCATCATTCAATATTTCTCTTTCTTAGAACACGTGTTATCTCCATAACCTCTCTTAGTTATTCATCCCTACGTTTACTCATCATATTGTCTTTCTAGTTTCTTTATTTTCTCAATAGACATTCTAATCAATTTATTATTTATTTGCTCGGTGAATCACAATCAAATTGTTTAGTATCTGTCTTGAGTTCATTTATCATGATTTTGTTCTCTTTTGTTTATCTATAAATTATTCCTTTAGATGACATTAGTTAGATGCTCGTCTTTCTCCTTGTTACTCTTTTCTTATTCCCGACGTTTTTTCTCTAGGTGTTTAATTAACTGCACATTGGATGACAGTAGCAAGAGGGACTAATTGTTTTTATTGCACTTAGCTTTGTGTGATATTGCACAAAATTGTCTTTATGTGAATAACTCCTTTTCATTTTCTTTCTAAAAATACTCTTTTGCATATTCGATTCAGACTAAATGAAATTGATTTAAATACTTCTATTAATTGAGGCCTTCTTAAATTTTTTATTAAACTTTTGACTGGTGCACTTATTAGTTTCGTTCATGCACTTTTCATTAGTTTTTTTTGTTTTATTTAGCAAATTATGATGTTTTCATTTCAATTTAATAAAAAATGTCAATGCAAAATTTTATAAGTGTGAAATACTAATGCACTTTTATATATATTTAAATGCACATGATAAAAGTGCATTTTATTTTGTATAAGAGTGCTACTCTAGAATTTTAGAAAGTATGAAATAATATTGCACGTTTGTATTATTATAAATGCACGTTATGGTTGATAATTATGCCCTTGTACATTTCTATTCATTTTAATTTAAATCATATATGGACAGGGCCGGCCCAGGCCAAGTGCTGGCAGTGCGACCGCACAGGGCCCGTGAATTTTAAGGGCCCAAATTTCAATAGTCCGCCTATTATTATCAACTAACAGAGCCCAATAACATAAGATAGATCCTTCATTGAAAAAGAAAACGCCTGGTGGTTTCGAACCTTGACAAATTTGTTACACAAAGGAATGCTGAACCAATCAACCAACTCAACCATCTGGTGGATGCGTGCTTCCGTCCAATTTGCTTTTGTATACCATTCAACTATTGATATACTCCAACTAAAATTAATGATATTAATTTGTAATCATAATAATAACTATTTTTATTGCATGCCATTATTAAATTTAAAAACTATTACATATGTATGAAATATTCTTTACATCTATCAATTATATTTATATTTTTTATATATATTTTCTTTGACAAATTATCCATTTAATTCCAAAGAGTCAAACACTTCTTCAATTTATGAGTTATATTTAAGATAATGATACACTAATTTTCAATTTAATCTGCTTGTAACCATTATTAAATTTTGAATGAGAGTTATAATATCTTCTATTTCTCAATATGGAGTAATAATCTTATTTCTTATATTTTGTAGTTCTTATATTATTCTTTTTTGGGTTTTAATTTTGAGTTTGAATGATTTAGTACATACTGTAGATAATTATATTTGGATGGTTTGTAATAATTGAACTTGGCAAATTACCATGTTCAGGTATTAGATTATTAGTCTATTAATTTATAATTTAATTTAACAAATAAATGAAGATTATTTTGTTAAGGAGTACTTTTATTTTAACTATTATGTTAGTGAATAACTTGTAATTTGATATAAATTATTACTGTAACAAAGTATTACCAATACAATCTTCACTTGTATATATTTTTTACCTATTTTAGGAAAAGGCCTACATTTTATTTTTGCACAGGGTCCATATTTTCTCAGGACCGGCCCTGTATATGGATGTGCACAACTAAATGTGTAAAATTTAAAGTGTGGTTTACAAAAGTGCAAATTGATTTAATAAACATATAATTCTCCTTGGGATACAAAAATATACAGTATAATCATTTTATTAAATTGATGTTGCATAATGTTTCAAATAAAAGTGCAACTATTCAATGTTTAAGTGCAAATAAACAAAGCTAAGCGGATAAAATATTGTCTCTAAAAAGATGGCTAAAAAATCGAATTATGATGCATTTTTCGTCTAAAACGAAATATCGAATTAATTGTGCAAAAGACATCGAATAAAAGTGTAGTAACTTAAAGTTGGAGTGCGGATAGATACATTACGAAATTGCATCCAAAAAATGATTAAACACAAAAAAACATGAGAAAATGTAATAAAGTTTTTTAATTAGTTAATTGAACAAATGCGAGGATACGACAAATTTGGAGAAAAAAAGTTAAATAAGAAGAATCGAATATGTTATTCTAATTATGAGGAGGTTGATTTGTATTAATTAATATCCTAATTTGTAGGATAACTTCCCATATTTGGAATCATACGTTCCACTAGCTTTAGATCTTTTACCTAAATGCCCTCTTGTCATTAATATAATGCATACGTTTCCAATTTATATACTACCGTGTGCATGTCATGTGCAATTTTCAGTTCGGATGGTTTTTGTCTCAGCCGCACGATCAAAAGAATGGATGATCAGTTTTTATTCTTATTTCTCTCCTGGAGCATCATTCTCACAGGAACTCTCCCCTATATATATATATATATATATATATATATATATATATATATATATATATATATATATATATATATATACATATATATGTTAAAAGGGGTGCTGTTCGTTATGCAGCCTCATGCATAAAAAGTTGCTTGAAGCCAAAGATGTAGCTCATCATCAATAAAGCATCCCCCAAGGTATAGCTCTATCAGAGGGCAGGATGTACTGACTTAAGGTCATGCCCAGATTGAAGGGTAAGTTCATGCCACTGCCTAAACATTAAGGGAAAATTCATGCAACCTCCCTGAGCAACAACCCACAACTTAAATCCTCCTCCAATCCCAGTACATCAAAAGAGATGCACAATTCAGGCAAAAAAAAAAAAACTACTATTTAATACGACATTAGAGTAGACAAGGTATGCTATCCCCCCATACCCTAGGAATCAGATGCCTCTCCACTAGCTACCCCTCCCCTACGAAAACCACCAACTCCTAAAAATAGAGAAAAGAAACAACAACAACAACAACAACAACAACAACATCCGAGACTTGGTCCCGAAAGGGTTTGGGGTCAGCTAACATGAAATTGGAACTAAAAGAGATGAAAAAGATAAAAAGATAAACAAAGATAAGATAAATACTCCCTCCGTCCCAAAAACAACTTCCCACTTTCCTTAAATGGATGTCCCAAAATTAACTTCACACTTCAATACTTTCCTTATTTGGCAAATTATCTACATCAAAAAAGTGATAAACAGTGCCAAACAGTGTTTAAACAGTGCCAAACAGTGTTTAAACAGTGCCAAACAGTGTTTAAACAGTGCAAAACAGTGCAAAACTACAGTAAAGTTAAATTTATTTACTAAAAGTGTGTGAAAGTCAAACCGGGAGGTTGTTTTCGGGACGGAGGGAGTATAAAAAAGATAAGATAAAAATATAAAACAGATAAAAATAGAAAATAATAGCAGCAACAACAGGATAAAAATATAAAAAAAGATAAAAATAGAAAATAATAGCAGCAACAACAGCATTACCCCAGTGACGCAAAGGCTCCCACCTACGGAGGGGTAAGGGGGTCAGATGTACACAGCCTAACCCCTGTGCTAAAGCAGGGGGAGACTGTTTCGAGATGACCCATGGTAAAAATAGAAAAAACCCAGCCTCTAGAACTAGTCCATATAAATAAGCAAACAAAACTAACTATGTCACTGAAAAAGTCAATTTAACAAAAGTACACCCGATTAATTTCATTGAGGTACAACTACTTGAAATAGCAAAATTCAGCTATGTTTTTAAAAATTATTTATTGCTTTATATAGATTTAACATTCTTAACTTGTTTGGGGATATAATAAAAGAATACATTCATTATAATAAAAAGGCTAAAGGGTCAAATAGGTACATGAACTGACTTAATGTGTTCAATTAGCCCCTTATATATGAGTTTCTGCCCGGACGTCGAAAATTGGGGCGGTTCCCGGTGCGAATTCTTTGATGATTTTTTTTTTAAATCTTCTTCATTAAGTCTAGTTTACCCATGCCAAATTTCAGCTAAAAATTCAACCGGGAAGGCAGTCGAATGATTTTCCAAAATATTAAACAGCGCAGTACATTTCGGAAAATCATTAGACTGCCTTCCCGGTTGAATTTTTAGCTGAAATTTGGCATGGGTAAACTAGACTTAATGTAGAAGATGCTCAAAAAAATTCATCAAAAAATTCCACCGGGAACCGCCCCAATTGGCGACGTCCAGGCAGAAACTCCTATATAAGGGGTTAATTGAACACTTTGGGTAAACTAGACTTAATGTAGAAGATGCTCAAAAAAATTCATCAAAAAATTCCACCGGGAACCGCCCCAATTTTCGACGTCCGGGCAGAAACTCCTATATAAGGGGTTAATTGAACACTTTGGGTTAGTTCATGTACCTATTTGACCCTTTAGCCTAATAAAAATCAGCTTCTTTTGTGACAGCAAGATAAGTTTTCAAACAAACTAATATTTTTGGACAGAGAGGGCAGGAAAAAAGATGATATATACCTGTATGATCAGGCAATAGACCTGCACTTTTAGCAGAGACTGGAAGCACAAGATTACCAGACTTATCAGGAACCTCATTCAGAGCTTCGCAGTTTTCATACTTGGGTTTTGATAATGTGATTTCAGCAAGTTTTGCATATGCTGTTGCTTGACTGTTCATATCAGAAGAGGTTGAGGGCTTAAAGTTACAATCCTGCAAGTACAGCTACATCAATCCTTTAATTGGAAAATGATATGAAAAATTGGTACTCCAAGTGAATATATAGAGATGGCAAGTACCTTGGGTGTATTACTGATAGTTGTGCCCTTACTTTCAGACTTTTCAGGTCCATTTTCCATCGATGTACCAGCACCAGCAGTGGGTGGGTGGTTTTTTATGTTATCAACTAGCCTTGTGGTTAATGGACCCGGATTCACAAAAGAAATGGTTCGGATTTCATGTCGTATGGCTTCTAATTGAGCAATTGTATCTTGTAGCTCTTTGTGGACCTTTAAGATAAATGCCAGAGAAAAGATCATTGCCGCCATACACAAGTATGCCCGGTATGAGAAAAAGATACTGGAGTATACATCTATATCAAATGATGATTACTATATACTACATATAAGTTAAAAGAAGAGTAAAAACCTACAGAAATAGGTGAAGGAAGATAAAAAGAAACCTGTCGAGCTTGAGTTTGCTGCATGACACTCTCAAATTGACCACGGGCCATTTGAACATAGCCAATAGCACGGCCAGATAACCTCCCAGCAGTTCTTGCTATGACTGGAAGGTCCTTAGGTCCTGACAAATCAAAACCCTGCCTCAGCATATATAACTCAACACATGAAGGATATAATCAATCTCATACTGAGAAGCAAGTTTTGGGAATAGGAAACAGGATTATCAGAACTATAGTGAAAAACCGGGTGAATCGAAGACAGTTTACACCGCCATTACAGAGGAAGAGTACCAATTAAAGCCGCAGTAGCTCCAAGCAATAAAAACAACTCTCCATATGAAAACCCTAGCATGTCTTTATGTCTCTAGTTTGAACAAAGAATTAATGGGAGCTGGAGTCAATAGATCTCGCCGTTCGTTGCTGAGGAAGCCGGAGTGTCTAGAACTCTAGACCTGAGAAGGAATACAATACAAAAGAAGCAATTAAACATTAGAAGGAATAATTTTATATGGGAAAAAATCACATTACAAGGAATAATATTATGTGACAAAAACAACAACCAAGCTTTATTCCCAAAAGAGAATCATTTCATGTGAAATTAATTTATATTTTTTCCAGCAAAAAATTAAAAAGAAGATTTACCCTCAACGATGTTAACTATTCAAGCATAGGCAAACAGGTAAGAATCCACAGTGCAAGCGCAGGAAATTATTTTGCTTTCAAATTTTAAAGCATAGAATGACTTTATACTAAGTGTAATATGAAGTTCAAAAAATTACACGAAGAGGAACAAAAGCAAGTATCTAAAGTCTCCAGTTCAAAAATCGAATCTTAACCAACTTTGAGCTTCCTGTCTTTCCAATGGTATCTCCATAAACAAACAGAAATGCAATTTACAATGTGCAATTAGGTGTCTGCTCAATCTTGAGCAGCATTATTAGTATCATAAAGAAGTTTACAACCACAAGCTTGCCAAATTAATGCAAATGGTATCTTAGGAATTTGATGTGCAACTTAGAATAGGGATTTGAGGTAAATAAGTTGGGCCATGAGTCCATGACTAGTGGCTGATCTATTGCCCCTATTCTGCGTGCATGAAATCATTTTAAATTGAAATGAAGAACAATACATCTATCTTTATCTAAAAGCAAAAGAAATTCAACGCACAGTACTCCCGCCCAATTGTGTCAACGTCAGTTATTAATGTTTTAATTGGTCAAGAATTATAACAGAGGATATGCATTGTAAAGGATGGGTCCGGGCCACACTTTAAATTTTGAGGAAAGTATTCCTATTGGCTGTAGCTGACGGTGGGTATAGTAAGAACAAAAATTAATGAGGCCTCCTATTGGTCGAAGAGGTGGTGGTTACTGTTGCCAAAATTTGTGACATGATGCTTCCTTGCTTTCCATTGGTTGATGAGGGTGGTGTGAACAAGTGAGGGGATGGTACCTGCAACAAGTGGTACACAAACGTTCAAAGCGATCAAAGCTCTCATCTTCCTATGATTCAAGTCGAAGGTAAAAAAGAACCACATCCCCTCTTCCATTTAACGAAGCGATCAAAGCTCTCATCTTTGCATCCATGGAGGAAACAGAGACTCATAAAGCTATGCTCACAACAGAAAATTGGAAGAAAGAACAAATCTTCAACTCAAACAAAGTGCCACCCTTCCCCGCCCAGCATCCCTCTTTCGGTGTGGTTAAAGCAAATGAATCATCATTGAACACCAGCCCCACAAACTATATTGACACATTCTCAGAATTGGTTGAATCCCTTAATTTCAGAGCCTAGGGATTCTTCGTTTCAAACATTATTGGCATTATTATAATCAAATCAGAAGACAATGAACCAGAAATTGAACACATTTGCATCACTTCATTGTCTAGTTCCAATCCAACACAGTCCCTTCCTATTTCCTATGGGAATCCCAAAGCCAAGCCAAGTTATTAATCAAAACAGACATCCAGTCCTGGGCTTCTTTTAGTATTAGATCAATGCTGAGAAAATGATAGCAGCCGAACTCTCTGCTAAAGGTACATCAAAATATATAATTCCTCTAGAAATTTCTTAAAAGAGAAACTGATTGAGAAATAAAAAACAAAGTATTTCACATTCTAAACTTCTATTTTGTATGCACAAAATAAACATATAATTTCGAATGCAATGAATGAATAATAGTAGAAACTTTGAATGAAGCCATCAGTCACCAATGATTCTCCACATAAGCTTAAAGCTAATAATACGGTCCGCATCATGGTTCGATCTAAGAGATCGCATCACGCGGCTTGTCAATTTCAGCTAAAACTAAAGCAAAAAAGGCAGAATAAAATCAACAAAAGAAGAGCTCAGAGAATAGTATGGGTATGAGACAATTATCATCACTCTCTCCGAAGGAGGTCAGAGTGGTGCATGACAATCTCTGTATTTCATCATCGCTCTTCTTCGTCTAGTGAATACTCATTAATAATTACTACGTAATAATCAAACCTAATTTTAAAAAAATGAAAAATAGGGAGAAATGGATAATAAATAACGCTCAGAGATAATTTCCGCTATGATGATTAGGAATAGGTGAATGCTCAGAGAAGACTGCACATGATATATAGGAGCGGAAATTAGGTTTCACCCAAACTCTAATCTTTGTGGAAATTTGAATAGATACAGGCCCGGGTTGAACAAAGGGGCCATACAGATCCTGGTCTTCTGGCCCGGTTGGTTCATTTAAATTCAACCCGACAAGGTGTAGATGTAGAATGAGTAGCAATTCCGTCAGGTCGGCCTGAAACCGCCGTCCGGCAGAGGGCTTTTGGGGCCCTCCCCGGTGGAATACATATATATACACACACACACACACACACACACACATATAGAGGAATGATCCTGTCCAGCCGGAGGGACAGGATCCTCCGTCCAACCGCCACCGTTTGGGGCGGTTTCCGGTGGAGTTTTTTGATGAAATTTTCATGGAATGATCCTCATCAAGTCTAGTTTATCCACAAAAAATTTCAGCTAGAAATTTGATCGGGAAGGCAGTCAAATAATTTGTTGAAGATAACTGCTCCAAATTAAACATATAAAACGCATTTATGTTTCAAAAAATTATTTCACTGCCTTCCCGATCGAATTTTTAGCTGATTTTTTTGTAGATTAACTAGACTTGATCGGGAACATTCCATAAAAATTTCATCAAAAAACTCTACCGGGAACCACCCCAAACGGCAGCGGCCGGACGGAGGATCCTGTGTCTCCGACTGGACAGGATCTTTTCTGTATATATATATATATATATATATATACATACTAGTTGGCACGCGCGTTGCGCGACGGGTGGTGCCCAATGCTGGGGGAAAATGTGTTGCATTGTTAGGGAAATCAAAAATAGGGTGAAACTTAGAGGAACAAAAAACAATGTCTAAAATTTGATAGATTTGTTAGGGATATTTGAGAAAAACCATTTAAACCATTTATTCATATAATGTAAAAACAAAGAAACCCAAACATATATAAGATCTAATACAAACATATGCGAAATCAAACATAAGAAATAAACTGTCATTAGAACTTTTCCTTTCCGCTAGCATTCCCTGAAACTTTTCCTTCTTGAGTACTCTTTGAGCTAATTATGGGTATTTTATGGTACCTATAAATGTTTGGTGCATGTTTTCCATTATCTTCCTTCATGAGATTACTTCCAAGTTCCAAGTCATGGAATTAATGGGGTGGAAAACTCATACTCAATCTATTCACTTCTGAAAGTCTACAACCTATAAGGAGTCAAAATTTTGTTCATTGACCTACCTTTGGTAATGAATGAAAACTGTTGCTTGGGAATAAAAAAAACCTAAAAAGCATACACATTGTTTCAGAATGTTTTTTCAAGAAAAGAAGCCATTCTACATACGGAAAAAAACCTAGAAAAGCATACACCTATTTCAAAAATCATAAAAGCAAAACGGAAAACCAGCTGTTTACAGTTTATATAGTTCAATTGGGTGTTTATTATGCTTACCCAATTATAGTCCTCAAGACAGCACTCTTCTTCGCAAACAAACACCCATTCCGCAACCTTATCCAATATTCTTTTCTTTTCAGGGCCTCTTTTTTACATCACATAGGGTGATGTCAGGGGACTGACATAAATGCAGCTTGACTTGTTTTACAAATTAGTAAGAAATTTGGCTCAGAATATATAGAATACTCACAGATCCAGTGTGGAATGATATTCAAACAATACCCTCACGGTCATCATAAACCTCGACAAACAAAGTGCTATATTGTAACATCTAACAAAGAAATGTAAATACCTGATTTATGCCTCAGTCTTGAATGTTGGCAACTTTTTTTATGCCACATAGCCCCCTCTTGATGTCCTCAGGAGTGGACCACCACGTTTATGAAGTGCACTGTATACACGAAAATAAGACCTACTTAACTCCTTCCACACTTTATATATATGGTAGATTTCTATATGGAAAACTTAGTGAACTCAAATTAGGGAGCAAGGGACACTTTACCTAATAGCAGATATACACATATCAGAATGTTTTGCAGCTTCTAATTTCATTTTGGAGTCGAATGACAGCCAACCATTTTAGTTCATAGGCCGAATGGCCCACATCTCTAACAACCTAACAACATCATGACCCCAAAACAAAAATAAAGAATTATGGGAAACTCAACACTTCTCTTACTTTTAAAATAAGTAAGACTTTTTCAAAAAAGTTTATTTTGTATATTTTTTATAGAAATATATTAAACCTTTGAAAGAACAAAAAACTTTTTTTCATTCAAATTATTTATACCAAATTAACCCAAGAATTAGATGTGAGATGTAATAGCAAATTAATTTAAGAATTTGAAACTAAAATACCTAAAATATCAGATTCAAACCTAAATTAGTCTAACAATCAAAATAGTGATGTCAAATTAACAACATGATTCTGGAAAAATTGATTTTTTTTTACCAATGAAACCTCAATGTATTAATACTTTGGTAGTTTATTTTTTTTGACCATGAAAAGTTTATGTAAAAATGATCACACGATGGTTAACTAAATACAAATTGATAAATTCTCACAGTTTTCTAATTACCAGTAAAAGTTAGTTAAACATCCATCATTATAGTTGGAGTCCACAATCTTTCTATATACAAACTGCTGTGGAAAAGCAGCATGAATTCCCGCCCAAATGTAGCGGGTCAAATAGCTGAGTTCGTGTCAAAAAGGGTCCATCAACTAGGGTCAAGTATTGAGTGGAATAATGCATTAATTGTGGTCAACAGTTTTATTCACTTTAATAGCCTGCAAGGTGATGGCAACGGATGCATTAATTGTTGTAGCGATGTGTCTTTTCAAAACTTTATAGTCATAAAGACAAAAACAGTAGCAAATTTGAAAAACGAAATGTAATTTGGATTTGATTTGTGAACTCAGTTCGCAGATTAAGTGATCTCAAAAGATTTGGCATTTAATGATTTGTACTCTCATATCTCCTTGAGCCACACAACATATTAAAATATATCTAAAAAGTACACTGATAATAAATGCTAAACAACAACGCAAGATTTTTTTGAACTGAGATATGCAAGTTGTCCCCATTAAATAAGTGGTGTATAACAAAACTAAGCTACTTCATTGGGCACTGTGGGCTGTCTAATCAAATTAAAAGACTGAACATTATTGACCATTGAGCAGTTCAAATTTTTAGTATAAATAAGTCCAACCCAATCACACATCCAGAGCAACAAGCATGTCATTTGAAGTTTGACTGCATATCAGGAGTGGGATGCACAAGAAGTAATTTTCAACAATGAAGAGGTATACTGCTTCAAACTTTTTTCAAAAATTATGCAAATGTGATTAGCAATAACCAAAATGGGCAGGCCTGTTGAGAATATGGAAGTTGATAACCATGATGAAGGGGTATGCAATATGCCTTAAACTCATGAAAAACTTAATAATATGTGTGTTTTTAGTAATGTTCATCTAAATGTTTAGCTAAATTAGTCTTTTTAAGTGTTTCTCAAACTCATAGATTCAATGTTAACAACGAAAGGTAAATATCAAAGGTAAAACTAAGAGCAGTTTGGTATATAATTTCACATACCCAGATTTTCAAAAGTAAAAGTTTTGAGTGAAGAAGATAGGGCATGTTTCTAAAAATAGAATAATGTATAGTTAACAATTTGATTTCTTATTACAAAAAATAAGAACATTTTTTTCAAACATTATATACTTGGCAGTTTATTTGAAAAATAACCTGCTTTTAATTGTATTTAAAAGCAAAAGGTAAGACTTGGAAGTTAAGGGGAGGATGAAGATCATACCTGAGAGTTCGGCAGCAATAATAGAACCTTGCAGTCCCTAATCTTAACTAATTGATAATGTATTACATTTCACTTCTGAATACTACACATTTGGGCACCTTATTCAAGATCCTCTGAGTTTACATTTTATAAAGAATGAAATTTTAACTCAAAAATATATTCAATTCTTCTAGAATAGACCTGCAATATAAAAGATAAAATCATGTTAAAATGCATCTTTAAGTCACACACATATTAACACTATATATTGTGTGTAAAGACCATTTAGTTTGTTGAAAACATTGTATAAAGTAAACTATAAAACTAGAGCATTGAACATTTCCATATAAGATCAAAATTAACATGATAGTTTTAATATAAAATGCAGTTCAATATGCAATTGATATTAGATATTTTCAATTTATAAAAAGTTATGAATGTGTGCTCAAATGCAAGAATCTATCTTCAAGCTGTGAACAGGTAGGACAAAACTAAGTTGGATTTAGGTAAAACCATGGCCAGCCTACTAATCAGTAAGTTAATAAATCAAATAAATTTTCTAGAAAAAAACTCATTTTAAAGGTCTCTTTCATCCAACCAAGGATCATAAGCAGGCCTTAATGAGCATTTTGAAATATACAATGATAATAATTATAGGTATAAATAAATTAAAACAAGATCATTGCTGATAGTAAACCCATAAAAGAAAGCACAATTGGAATATTTTTACTCACCAATGCTTTGATTAAAGGCATGCATATCGACTTGCTACCAACCAATGCTTATTGATCAACTATGCCTTTTTTACTACAGGAGTACATAATCTAGAAAGCATCTCTTAAAAGCATGCATGATTAAGTCTCTATCTGAAGAATTTATCTCCAAACAGGACTACAGGTTCCTACCCAGCACACTGCTGGACCAAGCAGATCTATAGTGATCACATGATGAAATCTGTTTGAAATAATAAGACATGAGAGATAAGAGATAAGAGATTGTGGTGTGTATTACATAAGGTTGAAGTATCAAAGAGTTACAAAATCACCCAAAAAAAACTGGGATTAAGTAGTTTTAAAATCTTCCACACCAAAGATGGCAGTTCGGTAAACAATCTACTTCCTGTCCTCTTATATTTCATTCCAAACAAAACTGAAGTTTTACTATTATGTTTAAGTAGTTTAAGATGTTCAATTTACAAGCTATTACTCTAATAGAGTAACTTATATTCCATTTTAAGTTTATTTATTTCAAGCAAAAAACTTTGGGATAGAAAAGGTGTAGCACTGCCTTTTTTAAAATAAAGTCTGCTATTGTGACCTTCTAAAATTATATATTAATAAATACTATGGACGAAGTCAGTTTTGAATTCAGGTATCACCAACCACTGTAATTAATTAAAAAAATCTTATAAGATGTATCCAAAATACAAAGTTTTGTTTTATCTAGGGGTTAAATCAAGACCACATATATCATAAAATGGATACTGGCTAAAAGTAAAGGTCAGTCTAGCACCCTCGCTCAGCCGTCACTCAGCTGAGATCCTTGCACCCTCACGAAGCTGTCTTCACTACATTTGACGAAAAGCAAGATTGGACAAGAATAAACTAACTTTATAGTATAAAAAAATCAATAAATTGACTAAATCCTTTAAATAAAATGATTTACTAATTCATGCAATAGAAAATTGGTAAAATACAGTATGTAAGCATGTAAGTTTTACCGAAACGATGAAAGGAACAGTTAGGTCTGAGATCCTTTGAAGCTCATTCAGCCATCGTAGCCCTAACAATTGTCGAATAAGGCTTTATCGGACAAATGGACACTCACTATAGAGAAATGGGACGGTTGACTGTGGTGGTATGAGATTACAGACGACAAAAGAAGACATCCGAGAAGCAGGGTGAAGATGGGAGAAGATCGTCATAGAGGAGAGAACCGATGGTCTGCGATATTGGCCGCAGGGTAAATGAATATGCCGTTTCGGTTGTATAAATATGCGGTTTAGGTTTAGGTTGTTGGGCAGGAGTAAATTCATAGTATTGGGCTGGGTGTTGTCTAATTGGGCCAACAGCTATTTTTAAAATCAGGTCCGGGATTGGGCTGGGTAATATAGATGGTCCTAAATCTTAGGCTGTTAAAAATATTATTTTAATAAAATTAATAAATATTTCTTAATAATTGTTAATTATTAAATTTTTAAAAATATTTTATTGTTTGTAATTACCAATGTAACACATTTATTAATGTGGTTCACTTTCTTTTATTGGGGCATTGAATTTATCTAATTTTATATGTGTATTAAATTTGAATTTATATCTATATATTATGTAAATACTCCCTCCGTCCCAATTTGTAAGATACATTACATTTTACGATGTTTGACTGACGATAAAGCAAATTGATCCCTGTCAACACTCAAATTATTTTTAGAAAATAAAATTTACATATTCAGAAACTACATTAAAACTGCTACAAAACCTGCAAAAAATAATTCAAATTTCATAAACTTTTGATATATAAAATAAAATATTAAAAGTGATTTGTGTTGACCAAGTGAATAGTAAATGCATCATACAATTTGGGACTGAGGGAGTAAATAATTTTTTTAAATTAAAATTGATTGAATTAAATGAATTTCTCTTTCTTTGCTTTAATTCTGCAGAAAACATTGATTGTAGGGACGACCATCCTTCTCAACTGGTTGAAATCGGTTCCAGTTCTTCTAAATGTACAAGATGGATTGCAAAGGCAGGAGTCTCTAATATTTTAGTAGACAAGACAAATAGTTGATCATATTGATCATACTACTTATGTTGTTTACAAAGAAGTCTTTCAGAATTTGTATTTTCACCGTAAACACTTGCTATTTTACTTATCACTTTGTACTTTCAGATGTTAGTATCTCTTTAATTATATTTACATTTTATCTTCTTCGACAATGTTTTAAACTCTCTTTAACTATGAACACTTATTATGTTACTTACCACTTTATTCTAAGTTCAATTATCTCTACATTTTTTAATAGACATCTAAATCACACATTGATCAATTTTCTTCTGTGCATCGCACGGGCGAGAATCTAGTAGTTGTTCAAGGCTCAGATTTAAAGATGCATGTTGTCATGTTTTATCTACAAAGCTACCTGTCAGATCCATGTTCGTTGTTCAAGGCTCAGATTTAAAGATCCATGTTCGTTGAACTGGGTCAGAAAAGGGGGAATTTCATCATCATAGCCTCAAGTATCTGGAAGCAAATGATACATGTTAATGTCATTGAGAAATTAAAGAACATTTTTTACCGGTAAAATAGATCCAAACATGTTGTAAACTTAGTTTCATAAAAGATCATAGCAATAATAAAAGTAATTGATGTTACAAAATCCAAAAAGATATTACAACCTCTGATTTAGCAATTGTAGTTTCGATAAAGTAGTTTTGCTCTACAACTATGATTGAAATGTAATGAAAAAAAGTGGTCCTAAGACATGTATCCCTAATTGTGTTAATCAAAACATTGTTTTTTCACAAACAATATCACAACAATGATATTCTCAAAACCTACCAAAGAGGCAAATAGCAAACAAAGAATAGTGAGTTTATATGTAAGGACTATTTAGAAGAATGAGTCTAAAGTGATGTGATGAACTAATCAAGCATATATCGTAACATTTCTATGTACGAGCAATAATGGCCTGATTGGCTTCTTCCACAGCAGACTCCCTTTTGTGTGCATGGGAGATGTGAAAGACAATGTCAAATTTTGTTTGAAATTATTTAGACTACGAAAAAGTACAATTAATGTGATAGCTACAATTGTGTCGTTTATGAACATGCTTAAAACCTGGTTCCATAATGTTTATCATACGATATGAACATACATGCGGTTTAGACATTTAATCTCCTTCCTTTTTTTTGTTATGGGACAAATCAGAATCTGAAAACTGAAGATGAAAATCATACTAATGATGCATTTGTATTGATTGTACATTGATATGGAAAAGAAAAAAAAAATAATGGGTGCTTTCCGGCCCTTCCGGGTCATGTTTATAGCATCGCTTACAGTTTTTCACAATATAATATGACTGTATTGGAGAAATATAATGATTTCTCTAAAAAAAAATACTCTTTCCATTCATTAAGAAGATAGAAATAAATCAGAAAAAAAAAAAAGAATACATGTGAGAATGAGTAAATAACTGTCAGTTATAAGATCCCTGCCTACCTACTACTAGACCCTGCTGAGAAGCTACACCTAGGCATCTGGTCTTCATCATCCACCTACAGTTTTTTTAGGGCTCCTCAAAACTGAAGATGAAAATCATACTAATGATGCATTTGTATTGATTGTACATTGATATGGAAAAGAAAAAAAATGGGTGCTTTCCGGCCCTTCCGGGTCATGTTTATAGCATCGCTTACAGTTTTTCACAATATAATATGAATGTATTGAAGAAATAGAATGATTTCTCTAAAAAAAAATACTCTTTCCATTCATTAAGAAGATAGAAAATAAATCAGGAAAAAAAAGAATACATGTGAGAATGAGTATATAATTGTCGTTTATAAGATCCCTGCCTACCTACTACTAGACCCTGCTGAGAAGCTACGCCTATGCAGTTTTCTAAATTATTAAAGCTTGATTTCAACCTATGTAATCAATACCTGTACATTAAATGGACTAATATGGAAACCTATACTTTGTTTAGTGCAATCAAAGTATTTTGTTGGGACAAGATCATTCAGCTTGAACAACGAGTTGAAGAAGAGTTGCTCAGCCTGCCGAAGCTCGGTACAGACTTCAGGAGTTGCTTCGCCGGTTCGTCTAAGCAATTATAAAATATCCCACCGCTCAACTTCTATAATTTTCTTGTAATGTTTATTATTTACAACTTTTTTTTATTTAACTTTTTAGTTATTTAAAGGTTTTATTTTGAGCTATTTAAAACGGTGTATGCACCTTCTATAGTGTTTTAAATGGGTGCATACATCGTTTAGTGATTCTGTTTTCTACTTATCAACCTGAAACTCTATCTCTTTTGTATGCTCGGGTCATGACCCTCAGTTTATTCATAGAAGTAAGGTTTAACCAGTTTAAAAACACCAAAGTACGAGCAATGTTAAGTAAGATTTTAACCAGTTTTGGTTAAGTTAAGTAAAAACAGATTCCTATATTGTGAATAGAATATTGGGATAGGGCATAATTTAACCTAAGAGAATTTATTTGAATTATTGAAATTGAGATTAAACAAATATGACCCTCCGAATATAATCTTTTATCAAAATTATCCTCTAAGCATTTCATTTTGAAATCGCCTATGTTAAATGTACCTGTTCAGAAAATCCAACATGTATTTATCAATTTTGAAAGCATAGCTATATTGTTAACGAAAACGCCAAAAAAACACAAACAGGTCCACCCCTTTTCAACGCTCTTAGAAGTTTTATTAATAATTTAATGAATCGAATGCTCAAAAGCTCAGAGTTAGTCCAATTATAACAAATCTAAGAAACATATATTTTAGTTCATTCAATAAAATATCAAATTTGACATATACGCGAAGCTTCAGACTAACTACATCGAAATTTTAAAAATTGATTCCCACATAATGAGTGTTCGAACTCATCATACATGAATGAAAACATATATGAAGCAATTACCTATGATAAAGTGACGACGAACATCTCCGGTAGATAATTGTGCTTGGAACAATCGGAAGGAGGAGATGAGATTTTCGACTGAGGCATCCCCAGGTAGTATGGGTAAGATTGTGAGCCTTAGGAGGGGATAGCCAAAAGCAATGGGGTAGCTGGCCGGAGAAGGGATAGGCGAGAGGAATAGAGGCTGGCTATCGCCGGTGTCGATGAATAGGTATAGGAGAAGGTCGCTCTCTAAGACTCTAACCCTAAACACGTCAACGATGAATATAGCGTAGGTGTTTGGGTATTTGGGCTGTGGCTCAAGGATTGGGCCGAAACAGAGTGTTTATACTAGTGACTAGGGAGTTTGTTGTAAAAATAAGAGCCCGTTTGGTGCTCTCTTTTTTGGCTTATGAGGCGTATCGGTCATCTTTTTTATCAAATACGTAACTTTTGATTTGGTGCGTTAAATTCTATAATGATAATAATAAGTAAGCCTAAAGTTACTTTTCTTGCTTTATTGGCTGAAGTTATTGTAGAGCATCATTTTATCAACTTTTTCATATAACTTTTTACTTTATTTATTAGTAACAGATTTTTTAAATATAATTTTTCCATAAATCAGTAGAATCATCCAATTCAGCCAATTTTAGTATGAAATTAAACTGATGTCATGTTTCACCTTTTTCATATTTATATTTTTTGTTGATTTTTTTGTTGTTTCTATTTTTAATTTTTGATTTATTACAATTTTGACACTTTTTAATAGTTTATGGGTCATTTGATCAACTGTGACGGGTTCAAGGACCTATTTGAGCTTTTAGTTTCAACTTCAGATGCACAAGTGGCAATCAGATCGACCGGTGACATGACGGGTGACCCGTTGGTTACCTGTGAAAATGAAATTTGAACCATTATTTAACGGCTCGGAGTGTAAATTGGACTTTTTTAGTTCAAAGACTGAATTGAGCTTACACAACCGATACAAGGGCCTATTTATCCCTTAAGACAATTAAAAGCTATGTGTTTGGTAAAAACAAATTACGAGTAATTGATTAGCTTAATAAAGAGTCACAAAAAAAATCTTAGAATATTGATTCAATTAATAGAGCCATATTTCCTTCTAATGGAGGAAAAAAAGTTTTAATGCCAAAAAAAATCCTAACACCTAATATTAGGTGTTATGCTTCCTCCATTTCTTATTACTCACAACATGTTGAATTTTACATCGTTCACATGTTCTACTTTATTGATTGCTTTATTAGAATAATTTTTAAAAATATATATATTGTTCAATTTATCTCGCTACAAATTTTTAA